ATAGATTTTCGTGCTGCATCTAACTTGACCATCTCTTGCTTTGCTTCTCTATCTGTTTATACTCCATGTTTGCAAAGTTAATTTCAAAACCTCATGTTTCCATAACAGAATGCAAGTTTCGTATGCCAAGCAACTATTGTTGAATTCGATTTGACTAAGGGCTGGTGGTACAAATCATGCCCGTCTTGCCATAAAGTTGTCAAGAAAAACTCTGAATCGTTTGAGTGCAATGAACATGGGTTCATAAACAGATTACCCGAACCATGGTAATATACTTTTACCCCTATTTTACATATGATGCGTATAATACGTTGCTGAATCCTTTTTTATTATCTTGCGATTATGACATATAAGTCGTCTCCCCAAGGATTACATAATACATAAATGATCCTTCATCCATACAAAGGATGCCCCTATAGTGTGCATCCCAGGCCTTGCTATAAAAAATTCATTCAACAATCATTTCGAAAATTCTTCTTTGGTTATCACTTTCTGCTTAACAGCTGTGATTCTAAATAGGACCATTGTCAAATATCCTTTTAAATTTGTTCCAATTAAGAATTGTAGCCTACAACAATCTATTTTCTATGTCATTGGGTTGCACTCATCCTTATTTTATGTGTTTTAGTCGTGCTTATTCATATTTACACATGTTCATTAGTTTGGAATTAAACTTCCAGTGCACAACTTTTGAACATCATATTAATTGTTAAACTATGCTTTACAAACTTTGGGAACCATCATTTCCATTTGTGCTTCTACTTTATAGAGCCAGCAGCTAAAATCAACTTATAATGTTGTTCCATGATTGATTAACTCAAAACTTTCAAACATACACTTCTCATTATGCACAATATGTTGATGTGAGGTAAATTAATTCTAAATAATTTGTCTTTCTAACCATTTTATACATGCATACCCTGCATTACAGTGGTTCTATTGCATTTGGTACATTACCCACAAGATTGCTATTACCAGTATTGTTTTCCTAACAACCAAATATCCTCATCTTACCTAGGTTCAAAATAGATCTTATTGTGGAAGATATCACAAATCAGCACAACTTCCTCATGATAGGAAGACATGCCGAAAAAATACTTCGTGTTTCTTGCCACACTCTGGTGATAGAAGATGGACATGAGGATCCTTTCATACTTCCACCAACTCTAAAAAATTTGGTCGGCACAACAAAACAATTTCAGCTCTCTTTTGGAAATCAAAACACTGACTTTGGAAAGACAGACTTCATAGTTCATGGACTACTCCAAGATCAACTGCTTTCGAGCCCAACAATTGCCTTAGTCAAACCAAAAACACCTACTCCCTCCGTAGGAATACATATTATGACTTAAGCGACCCCCAGCCCAGTGATGCCTTCTCACCGACCAAATCAACAACCCCAGTTAGTTGCACCCACAAAGACTTCAAAAAGAGCATTGTTTCCTAATGAAGCGGACAAATCTGACAGGTAAAGTTTTCTCTTGCTTTAAAATCTCATGTGTAAATCTTCCAAACCATGCTTCTCTTAGGTATACTACAATTTTAGACTTATAGTGTTTACAATTTGATACCCCATTGACCATGGGATTCCATTTAACTCTTTTTTTTTATTGGTTTGTTACGTTTTAAGAGCATATATGTATATATGCTTTTGATGAAGTTCTCAATTCAAGAGCATATATGTATGTGTGTGTGTGTATATATATATATATATATTTGAATTTTAACTATTTAAATTGTGTTGAGCTTGCGTCTAACTTAGTGCTGGTGTTTGTGAGTTTCTAAATTTCTTCCAATAGCTTACTTTTAGTTGCTTTTGATTATATATTTCTCTTCAGAACAATTCTTCCACTTGCATTCTTACCAGCTATACTATTGCAAACCAAGCCAACATATTTGAGCTCTGTTTTTTCTTACTATAGGTTTCATAATGAACATCTACTTCTTCTTTGCTTTTTCAACACTTGATTCGATTGCACATGATTTTTTGTTGTTTTTGTACCTGTATCAATAATTTTAACACTGGAAGGCCGTGCTGCATTCACTGCATCAATAATTCTAACACAACAGAAATCAACCTGATTTCCATGTTTCTTTACTTCTTGCCGCAAGGACAAACAAATATATTGAACCTTTCAAATAGACTTTAAATTTATCCCATAGATTTTCTCCTTCTCTTTTTCTGATTGTTGCTGCCATGCTGAGAAAAAAAAAAATTATATTAATGGCTGTTCATTTATCTATGCAGTATTTCATACTTATTCTGATCTCCACCGGTTCTTTAAATGGTGTGGTTTTTCAATCAGTTAACAGTTTTTAAAAATTCAAACATTATAGTTCTAAGCGTAATCATTTGATTAGTCTGCCTTTTAGCATAATTCCCGGAGACCAAAGATCTAACCATGTACAAGACCCAACTATATAGTTTATTTCTATTTCCACCTGGTAGGCTTTCATTTCAGTAAAGCCTTTCATTCATTTCAGATAGGTGAAGCAGCACTCATTTGCTTTTATATATTAATTTTGCTGTGTTTTCAATTGTTTTTTTTTTTTTGGGCTTTTTTCCCATCTCAGACGTGTCTCTATATACATGCACTAATGATTGCAACGTGTTACAACGGTGTATTAACTTTGGTGTATTCTTAACTGATGTGTCCAATTTTGTTTTCACTAACTATTATAAACATTAGGGAAATTTAAAGCCAAATACCAAATTTTAAGAATTTTAACTTGCAGCCATTTTTGTTGGTTTCTGTAAAGATTCTAATGGTTTTCTGTTATAAATTTGTCTCTATTAGATTATTGTTTTTCAATTTAAATTTTACTCTTTTCCAACTCTGGGTGCTTCACTGAATAAATGATACAGATTCTTCTTGAAGTCAATTCGTTGTTTGTTTTCCTTTAGAGGATTGTTGTGCTTCGGTTGGTACCATTCAGCTCTGTCCATCTGTCAATAGGCATTGATCATTTTTGTGAATATGTGGCAGGCCATTGGTGATGCAATCTGTCTAGGTAAAATAGAGATCGTCTTTTAAAGTTAAACTGGTCCACTTTCTGCAAAAAAAAATTTGGCAAAATGGTTTAAGCATCTGTTCACAAAAACTAATTAATGACATCTTGATCAACCTGCACTGATTGTTATCTGGCCACTGAGCATTATGTTTGGGGTGTAAGGTGCATTTTCTATGGTATGGGGTGTCCGAGAGAAACGGTTTCTGAATTAGGTCTATTTGGATTTCAAGGATTACGTTTGGGATTTTGTTTGTAAGATTTGCAGAGAGATGGGGATGTTTCAGTTTTTATGTTTACTTTCACTGGTCCCATTCTCCCTTCCTTAGATGTTCTCTAACCTTATAAATTTGTACCTTCATTGACAGCAAAAAACCTCGCAGCGACCAAACAGACACAACCAATTCTGCTAGAATTGCTAAAGAATTCCACAATCTGGTTGTCCCCAAAATTGAACCAGCAGACAAAGTGCCGATAGCCACACTCAAAACAAAATCTCAAACCAAAAAAAACCAAAGATAGGTAAATTACAATTTGTTTTTCCAGCATACACCTACATAACAAACATCATGCTAGCATTTGTTAAACTATGATTTATATTCTTTGTTATAGTGCGGAAGATGTCCACTCTCAGAAAAAGTTAACACCACAATCTCCGTGATCGACTGCAGCAGGGCTTTCTACATCTTTTTGCCTTTCAACATTTTAGCTTAAGGACTTGACTGTTTCAACAACAACGAAACACTCTTTTTGTTTTTTGGTAACTACTGAAATAGATAACCAACCTACAAGACATATTTTGCCATCTTAAATGTAATGGCAAAATATGTGTGGACAACATGTTACTCCTGTTTCTTAAGGAAACAAACATCTTGCATAGTTTTTACTTTGCGCGTTTGTGCTTCAAAACTATGATGCTAGAATAAGAACAAAACAGTTTTTATATGTTTTGTCAACTGCTCAAACATGTGCCTAACTTAAATGACATCTATTTTGCCACCTTTACTACAAGGCCAACATTTGTGTAAACTACATGTTACTTCTGTTTATTAAGGAACCAAAACGTTCAGTTTCGTTCTGTTAATTGATCAATGTCTTTTCACATCAGTTAAGTTGAATGTATATAAAAACAAAACTACATATCTTATCAACCTCATTCACTCATCTATCCCTCTCTTCATTCTTCATTGTGTTAAATTTATTCAAATAAAACATATCTTCATCATACAGCTCAACATCATGTATTCAAGTCCCGCGGCATTGCGCGGGCACATTTTCTAGTTAGCCCTAAAATAGCTGTATTAATAAAAGGCTAGTCTCTATCCAAAGCCTAAATTAAGGGTAATGAAAAGCTAATTCTTGCTTTGAGCGATGCTAATTATGCTCCACATTTGTCTGTTGCTTCTAGGGGCGGAAACGTGCAAGACGGTGTCATTTGTCTTGCTGGAAGTTAGGCAAAATGCGAAACCTATCAAGTTGTAATCATTCACAAATTACTCCATTTCATAGTCGCAACACTTTAAGAACCGTCGTAAAGGAAAAACTCTTGAACTCGACTGCTATTCTATTACTTGTCTATATTTCGATTCTTAAAAAGTAATTTTTCACTAACACAAGATATACAAGCTCAATTGCGTTTTTGTGCACATTTATAAAAAAGACATTTTTTGGTTTGAAGAACCTCTAAATCTCATCTGTGACGTTTTACTGGAAGATTGTAGTGCCTCATTATGTGTCGATAATGTGAGCAATATAGTCAGTCTCAAGTGTCTAAATAACATTACTCGTCATAAATTCTAATTTTTCAGTTACAAACAGAAATACATTCCTTCTTCTACAAATTTAGGTACAACTTTTTCTTTAATGACCAAAGTAGTTAACATGAGTCTAACTCGCATTTATTCCTTAGATTTGTTACCATTAAAACTTAAATAATTTTCACTTTTACCAACTCAAAATTTACCCAAAAAAATACACACACGCAACTGGACGAGATAGTTTGGTTCGTCTTCCCACCTCTGTTGAAGAAGAGAGATATACCACCCGACAAACGGATCCCGTCTCCTCCTCACTCGCCTCGTGTGAGTAGAAGAATCGTCAAATATAGTAAACAATTAAACATTCTTGAAATCTCAGAAATATCATTTCTTTAATCTCGCACAAAAACGCAATTCAGACAACCTTCGTATCTGTCTCTCAGGTCCTCTCTGAGTGATCGCCTTCCCGTGTTCTTCATCCACGTGGCCACTTCCCGTACTTTCGGGCGCAACTCAAGCCGTGAAGTTTAAGGATCCAAACCCTCCCTTCATGTCCTTAAAGTCAACCTCCAACCTTTTACGGTCACATGGTATGTCATACTTTTTGACTGGTGCACAAGCAGTTCGATTTGTTTAACATTTGATCCCAGCTTAGATTCTTGTTTTTAAGTTATAACCTCGGTTTATCGACATGTGAAAAAGTTAAGATTTTTATGCAGTATGTGTTTAGTTTGGATATTGGGATGCTGTGGAATTAGTTTTCGGATCTGCCAGGAGTTAGTTTTTGCTTAGTGGGGTTGTAACTTGGGAGAAAACTGCGTGATTTCGATTGGAATATGGTTAATTTCAAGTCTAATTTACTATCTTTGATGCAAGATGTAATTTGGAATCTGGATTTTCTGCTTGTTTGAGAGAGAAGTAAGTTTGTGGGGAAAATTTTGATCTCAGACACTTGGAGGTAGTCTGTAGGAAGCGGAAGAGTTAAGGAATTTGATCCTGGTGGGGTGTTTTTATTGAGATGCAGAATTTGCAATCGAGGGCTGTGCCGTTAGAGGAAGGCAATGACCCTGGTGTTACTAGCAGCCGGGCAAGCCAAACGAAGGCCTTGCCGATTAGGCTACTCCAGTTATTCGCGCTGTTTCTGCTTTTCTGTATTACTTTCTCAGTCATTAGCGTATACACAATTCGGCATTTTGGAATCAATGGCGTCATGACAACAGCCGCAACCTCTTTCCAGCCGTGCCTTGAGGAACCAAGAGGTTTGGACCGATGGATTAAGCCGCCATCAAGTGTTAAACACACCATGAATGATGAGGAACTGTTCTGGAGGGCTTCTTTTACGCCTAGGATAAAGAAATATCCTTTTAAGAAAGTTCCAAAGATTGCATTTATGTTCTTGACTAAGGGGCCGTTGCCGCTGGCAACCCTTTGGGAGAGGTTTCTGAAGGGATACGAAAGGCTTTATTCAGTCTACGTTCATTCACTACCATCGTTTCAACCCCATTTTAATCCTTCGTCGGCTTTTTATGGGAGACATATTCCAAGCCAGGTATGCACCTATCTATATGTTATATGAAAGATTCTGCAATAAGTGCACAATTTATGTTTTTGGTTCCGGTATTCATTCAATGGTTTCTCTGGCTTTTACTTTTTGCACATCTTGATTTTCTCTGTGGTGAGCACACACCCCGGTTGCTTGCATTAGGTTGTGTGTCTGAAGTTCAAAATGTAACGAAAATGGAAAGCGCCTCTGCAGGAGGCGGTAATATTTAGAGATGATCAAAGAAAGGGTTTAACCTATCTGTGTATTGGTAGAAAAAGGGGCAATTCTAATTTATCATGTTTGGAATTACAGGGATGTAGAATACCGTCTCCGAGAGAGGGTAGGAAACCCAATTTGTTCCATGTACTCAATTGAATGAATGGATCTGACTTTTTAAATTCATGAAGTTGATAATCCTGCTTGTGAAATATACACTAGGCACAGATGCATTCATATGAACAGATGATGTAAAAGCATAACTTCTTGGGCGATACTCCGACCTCATCTCATATTCATGATTTCTTATTAACGTTCTTGATTCATCTCTAACCATCATTCTTGTGCCACAATTATGATGTTTCCTTTTACATAGTGTTATTGATATATGCCTTCAAATTGTGAGTAAGAATAAGGTGAATTATTTATGTGAATGATACCGGACAGCAGAATTGAAGTTTGTATAGATGTTTGCCCGAAGATAGATGAATATATTTCAAATGTGTGACTATATTCCGTATGTTTTCTGCTTCGTTTAACCTTTTCACTTAACGATTTAATTAACACTTAGTAGCTTCAAAAATGAGTTTCAGGGAAAACGTTTTATGGTCATCTTGATTGCCATTAAACATTCTTGCTGAGTTTTGGTTTTGTCCTGCGCAGGTTGCTGAGTGGGGAAGAATGAGTATGTGTGATGCTGAGAGAAGACTCCTTGCTAATGCGTTGCTCGACATATCCAACGAATGGTTCATTCTTCTTTCTGAATCATGCATTCCGCTTTATAATTTCAGTGTCGTTCACCGCTACTTGATGAAGTCCAAGTACAGCTATGTCGGTGCATTTGATGACCCCGGGCCACATGGAAGAGGACGCTACAATGATAACATGGCACCTGAAGTGAACATATCCGATTGGCGCAAGGGCTCCCAGTGGTTTGAAGTTAACCGAAAGCTTGCCATCAGCATTGTCGAGGATACAAAATATTACCCCAAATTTAAAGAGTTCTGTAGACCCGCATGTTACGTTGATGAGCACTACTTCCCCACGATGCTGACCATTGAAGCCGGGAATTCTTTAGCAAATAGAAGCATTACTTGGGTGGATTGGTCACGGGGTGGACCTCACCCGGCTACCTTTGGAAGAGCGGACATCACGGAGGAATTTCTCAAGAGAATTTTCTGGGGTCAACGCTGCACTTACAATGGCCAGAACTCAACAATCTGCTTTCTTTTTGGAAGGAAGTTTGCTCCGAGTGCCATGGAACCTCTTTTGCATTTAGCACCAAAGTTTCTGGGCTTCTAAGTTACAAGTTTCTAACACATAAACAGTCGGCCAAGTCGACGTCTCGAGCCGAAGAGAGTGCAAAACTCAATCGCCACGGTGTGTATTTGCTTGTTACGATAAATTCAACCTCAGTTGTAATATTTGCTGGTTTGGGGTTTCACCTGATAGGTCTTTGGCAAAATATACTGTTTATAACAGTTTGAGATGTACAGAGAAGTAGCACCCAATTTCGCATTGGGGCGTATCATTTTGTTCACAGTTTTGTATTTGAGAATTTGATATTTTGATGATTGATAGACACTATATTTGAATAATTTGTTCCTGATTCTGTTCACTTTTTGTTTTTGCTTTGTACATAAATCATAGCATATGCTACAGAGTGGCTCATGTGCTGAGGCGAAGTCATGAAGGGACGACGATGGTATTAGGCTCATTTTGATATATTTTTTCACACATAAAAGTGTAGTGCTATGCATGATTTTCAAGGTTTTTTTGTAGGCACAAGCCCCAATCTGACGTTTTTAGTTTAACTTTTTTCATCGGGTTTTGATTTGAGGTTAGTGATTCCTATGAAGTTCAAGCAATCTGTTGCATATGCGCTTTGAGGAGAAGGGAAAGAAAAAAGTTAGAGAGGCTTGAAATTTATATTCAAGATAAAGAATAATAAGGATGACACCATAACAGACTTAAACGACGATGGTCAACTACTTAACACATGACAGGGTAATTTTATAAGATTATGAGAATTTTTCGTATTGAGACTTTTGGATCCTTTTTAGACTAAAATCTTGACTCCGTAGCTGATCACACGCATGTGATTGTTAACGGTAAATCTATACGGTTCATGATTACTATATGGCTCCTCTACACGCGTGGCGATTGTTGGTGGGATTGTACGGCGCGTGAGAGAAAAGCCCATTTATGTTGTAGGTGTAACACCCAACCTCTTCATTTGATGTGACCAGCAAAGAATCTGTTGGGCCCACAGAAGACCCATTACCCTCTGGACACGCCATGGAACGTGGAAGAAATTTTAAAAGCCTCCAAGCCCGTTTGGTTTCACATTCTTTTTGGTCAACACATTGTTTTTCTTTTTATTTATCAAACGGTAATAGCTTTATTCACAGTTCAACTAGTCTCAAGTTCGACTTAACATGAAGTTCAGTCACTCATTAACGATAAAAAAATATTTAAAAAAAAAAAAAAAGAAAATAGATTCGTAAAAATCACTTTTCTACCTCAAAATTGCCCCAAAAAAAAGAAACATGAAGCCAAATTCATTAAAATAAGAAAAAATAACAATCTTGAAATGACAAAATTATGACGTTGGAAAACCGAAACAACTTAATAGTAAATTTAAGTTCCATCACAAACACATAAACTTATCGTCATCAAACTTGCAACATCTAACTAAAAAAAATTATAAAACAAAATACGAAATTGACGGAAACTTGGTCTCCACCGATCCAACGGACTTAAAAGCAAATTTATTTCCTTAAATGAAAAAAGGAGACCTAATATTCTCACGTACCTTTAGGTATCATTTGGTATGCGGGACGGGACGGAACAGGACGGGACAGGACGGAACGGAACGGAGCGGGAGCAAAAATGCCCTCGGATGGAAACAAGGAGGAGGAAGAAGGAGATGGAGAGGTTATAATTTTGTGTTCCATGGATGTGGAACGAGTCGTTCCAGGGGGTGAGGCGAAACGAAAATTCACCCAAAACTTGTCCCGTGGAACAGCTCGTTCCATCCGTTTTAGGCGCACCAAATGTGGGACGGAACGGTTTGTCCCACTCTGTTATGTCTCGTCCTACGTACTAAACAGTACCTTATTTCACATGCAGACAATCATGGACCACCCAATCATGGTTGATGAATCTGACTATAAAAAATGCCGGCCCCCATCATTTAGGGGCACTACAGTAACTTCCACTCATGCATGTGCACCCCCCCAACTTCCAAATACATGATGCCAAGCGAATGTTCTGGAATTCCCATGAAGTAAATATCAGAAGCAAACAGAATCTCCACCCTACACCTGTCGTTTTTCCATCCCATTCAACACCCTGTCGTTCTCAGACTCCCCACGTGTCGGACCCCGGACGGTGGCCCAGTTGCTGACCAGAAAGTCACGCAATTCTGCGCTGCAACCGCTCTGATTGCGCATTGTGGGCGGTTTTTTTTTTGTTTTTTTCCAATTAAAACTTTTAAGAAAAAACGGAAAGAAATATAAAAGCAATAATCTTAACGCGCAAAAGGTTATATAGTCTCTTCCTTAACCGCGTGCTAGCACGCGTTCATCCCCGTCGTTGATCGTACGGTCGACTCACCTGATTCGGAAGTACGGATTCTGATGCGCGCGAGTAAGATGCGTTCACGCGTCAGGGTAATCATTCTCGGAGAATATATTCTCCACTTGAGTTGGACCAAACAAGACACCCCAGTCGTTAGGGCATGTCTGAATACGTCGTCGTTTAGGTTTAATAGTAAAATTTCCCCCGAAATTTAAAACGACCACGCGTACACAAATGAATTCACATGCTGCACGCGATGTGTTTTATAGTGGGACCTACGGGGAATGTAAAAGTGGCTGCATTGCAGCATTAGTCGCCGTAGCTTATTCGAATTTTCAGCTTCCTACATTTAATTTTTCTTCTTACACATTAATCCTTAGAATTTAATTTTGTTTGGACTTTAGCACCAATTGTGCACGCAAAACAATTTCCGCGTGATTGTTTTCTTTCTCTGCACTCAAGTTCATTTTTTACTGTAACTAAATCAAAGAAAAATCAAGAAATATATCAAAACAAATGTGTATAATGAATATATATTTACACTGAGGATTATATATTGATTATATTAAATTAAAGTCGAACTTGATATGAATGAGAATTGAACTTACAACTTTTTATTTATAAGTGAGTAGACTAACACTATGCGATTAACTGGGCAAAGAAAACATTTGCAAAGGAATAAATGGAAGACGGGTTCATTGACGAAAAATTTTCAATATGCTAAGATCACGATCTGATACATTAAGTGTAATAATACAGTTGGATGAAAATTAAAAGAAAAAAGAAATCAACCAAACGTATTATTACACTTTGTGTGTACCATACTGTATTTTCGAGACACTAAAAATATCTCTTAATTGACAAACTGTTTGGGCCCAAAATATTATGATGGGGCCGAGCAGCAAGATGTGCTCGGCCAAGGTAATGACATGCTATGGGCCAAATAATGGAACCCGGACCAGCTGGCAGGGTCGGCCAGATCCTATCTTAAGTAGTCCAGATAAATGAGGAAAGGTCAAGGAAATCCTGGTGCGACCAGGATTCTCGACCAGCAAGGGATAAAGCCTCAAAAGGAGGAGAATTCAAAATCCCAGTAGGACGAGGATTGTTCGAGTTAAGGGTAAACCGGGACAAGGACTCCCAATCCAAATCAGATTGGGATTCAAGGAGCGAGTTGCTATAAATACAAGAAATCACGCAATAGAAAAGGACCCTTCACAATCAGCATACAATTGCCCTGCGCAAAACCTCTCAAACACCTTGAGATTTTTTCCTTTTCTTTTCCTGCCGACACACCTTCAGTTTGGATAAACATCACTGTGGAAGCAACCGGTGAGCACCTTCAGTTTGGATAAACAGCACTGCTGCCGCAGAATCAGCCGACCGAGAAACACCTTCAGTTTGGATAAACAGCACTGTGTCGAGGTCGACCGATTATCTATCTAAGTCTCGGCCGAGAAGGGTTTTCGAACCTTTGTTGGTAGAGGTCATCTAACTAAGCCTTTTCGGCGTAGTTGGGTGTTACGAGTTGCATTGCTCGGCGTATTGGACGCCGAGTGAGTTTATGATTGGATACTCGCAAGTAAGTTTCAGGGTTCGGCATTCCGACGGCCGAACTACGTTTACCATCAAGACATACATCACATTCGAGTACCTGTGCCCATATAGTTTGGTCTCGATTCGGCGTGCTTATACTCTTACGAATATAATCACAGTGACCGAATCAGGGTCCGACGACCTGTGAACTCCGTAGAATTAGTAGCCTTGTCTTCAAGCTATAGAACCCAGAGACCGAGAGCGTTCCTTCCTCGGTCGCAATCGCAAGATACAGAAGTCGATAACGCACCCAACGCGACATCACATTTTACTCCTCGGCCGAGCTCGGCCGACGAGTTGGCACGCCCCGCATTCAACCGAAGGACGTAGTTAGCTCATTAGTTACTCGGCCTGCGGGCCACGTAGGTTTTGTAATTTTTGTAGTCAACACAAACTGAAAGGAAAACGAAACGAAAAATGTGTCAAATTTTAACGAAAGTAAAATTAAGGTAAAATTTACCATACCAAGCAATGTGAGCTGTCGCGCCGAACAATAACAATTAGCCAGCCTGTGTTCAGCGGGCAGCTGCCCGACCAGCCCGCCACTACGCCTATAAATAACGTTCCTTACGCCCTCTCCTTTCCACCTCTCACCTAAGCTCATATACTTGTGCTTTCAGTCTCTCTGCGTCTTCAAAAACCCTAGTTTCCTGAAAGCACACAGAGGTCCGAACCCTATCAAGAATGGCAGTCTCAAAGGCATCCTCCGTCGTCGCCCTCATGGCAATCCTTTTCGCCGTCCTCTTGGCCATCGGCGCCGCCCAGGAGTCCCCTGCTCCCAGCCCAGCCTCCCCTGCAACATCCATCTCCCCATCGTTCGTCTCCGCCATTGTCGCCGCCGTCGCCGCTCTGGCCTTCGGATCTGCGCTCAGGGCTTGAGTTCGCGTTTTCTGCTGCTGGTCTGGATGTGGCTGTGTAGAGCGGTTTGGGGTTTTATGACTCGTTTTATTTAGTAGCGAGTGTCGTTTTAGTAACTGATGGCTATGGATCTTTAGCGATTTCATTTACATATGATGGCTTTGCTATCATTATTACTATGATGGATTTTGTGGATTTCTGAGTATTATTATGAGTAAATAATTCATTTATTTTATTTCGTTTGTCTAATTTTCTCTTTTCCTCTTCTAATTCTGTAATTCTGTGTTTGATGAGTGTGATTAGCTTGCGATCTCGATGTTTATTCTCTTAATTTAATTTTAATTTCATGAGAATCTTGCAATTAGAAATTTAGAAGTAGATAATGTGAGTTACAGCAGACATCTCAGATCTGTATTATTTAATTTAATTTACGAATTTTCTTAAAGAAGGTGACTGCAAAAAACTGAGTATCTGAGTCGGTGGTAATTATTTATTCCAACCAACAAAGCGATATTTTCCAGCTGCAAATATAAAATAATAATTTTTAAGCTGTTTCTCATCACATGGATAATAATTCTTCAGTTTTGTGGGTACACCGATAATTACAATTCGGGATGTTATTTTCTTTGGTCGAGAGAAATAATCCAGAGAAGGAAAAAAATGCATCACGAAACTTTTGTGGTCAAGTACCGACTGTTAACCTACATGCCATAGAATTCGTACTCAGTGGTAAGAGGCATATAAACTGCGACCAATTGACGTAATTCACATTAACAAGTAATGTTGGAATTTGTTTGGTTGTCGAACACTATCAGAATCCTCTTTGTTTCGATTCCTAAGTTTTGGGTCGTCGTCTGCCCTTTCAAGCATAATTGTAGGAAATACACGAAATTTGAATTTGAATGCAAAAGGAAAAGTCTATTGCCCCGACAACTGACCGAATTCACATTTATAAAATGCTGATATTTTGTAATCACTGTGGATATAGTGTAGTGCGAATTCAAATATGTGTAGTTTTTGGTCTCCACAATCAGCGTTAGAATTAGTCGTTGACAAGACTCGGATGATGGGTGATGGGGGCAGACTCAACAATAACAGTAATAACAGACATCACTAGCACTTTCCAATCCAAATACCAATTCTTATGTGGCATGACATGAAAAAGCAGCAAATGACAGCAACTTCAAATCTATTTTTAGTAATTAATAAATACTTTTTATAATTTTAATAGTTAACTTTTGTTTTAAAATACCAATTACAACTATAAAAAGTAAATAATAGTTTAAATTTGACATATCGGTTAGAGAATAAAATTTATAAAAAGATCAATGTGTCACATAAGCCTTTAAATTTAAATTTTGTGTTTAAAATTTGACATCTCATTTGAAGATAATCTTCAGAGGGAAATTTTTTCTTAATTAAAGCAGATTAAGAATTTAATGACAATGATGATGAATTATGATTGTAAATGTGAACGGACTCATTATTCAACTCCCCTGTTTATTTCTCCGTCAACCACCAAATGACTCATGTTTTCTCACCTTCACATAGTTTAATGCAGTTGATTGGTTACCTTACCGTTGAAAGTGCATATTGCGTTTAGAAATAAATTACTACTGACACGTCTCCCTAATCACGTAAAAAATGCCAATTAGAGACGCCACATAAAACGTAATGTGACATTGACAATTTGCTAATGTCTACGTAATTCTCTGTGTGTTTTTTTCGCTTGTCATTATCTTAACAACTGCAAATCAAATGTATCTTTTAGATAACTATTATCACCATATCATTAGCACGTATGTGATTCTTTTTATATCTAGAATTTCGTCCGTGGTATTATTATTTTGTTTAAATTATAATTATGTATTTATTTTTAAAATAAGGTATATTACTATATTCATCTGCTTATATTATAACTGACAGAATAATAACATTACATGACGATGTAAAAAAAATCTTGACATCTAGGGAGCGATGGAGTCCGGGTTTCCACTCGGATGGTGAAGTCTGAAATGCATTCCATTGTCCATGAGGACTCTGACTCAAGTGTTATGAGCACTCACCCCACCAAAGCGTAGACTCCCCGTTATCCATTTGAGCATTATTATCGAAGTTGTCAATTCGATGCAATGATGAATTCGTCCATATTTAGTTTCTACTTGGTTAGAGGAGATTAGATTCGATTCACACGGATGAACGAATCATACATATTTTGTAATGAGTTTTGTATCAAACTATTGTCATCAAGTTAATTATGCATTGTCAGTCTCCTGAATTTCAAGGTTAAAGAAAATTACATCTTTCGATCTTAATCCAACGATAAAGGAAAAATAAAAAAGTTTAAAGAACATTTTCTTTTTTACCATTGGGTAAGAATAGATCGAACAATTAGTTACCACAATTGACGATTGTATTTTTCCTCGGGTAACATTTTTCATGACTGGGGGAATTAAATCCCAATAACGCTTTCGCAAAGGGTAAATTTTCATTCGTTCGTGATCGTGTTGTTCGGAACATTGGGCGGAACGTAAAAACAAAGACAGTATACACAAACGGAAATCAAATCCGTTCATTATTTCAGACTGTTGAAAGGTGGAAGATTTACAGAGTTCTAACATTTTCTCATCCCTTCGAAACGAAGGCAAAAAAGGAAGAAGAAGAAAACTAAGATCCTCTCAACCTTGTCATCTTCGTCATCAACACAAACCCTATAATTCTATCTTTTTTTACTAAACCTCGTTTTATTCAGAGTCAGACTCCACCACATTGCCCATTGCCTTTAACCCTCTTGGTCTCTGCATCATCCAAAAAGTAATAACTAGTTAGTTATAATGCATGAAAACGAGAAAATTAGAGTAGGGCAGCCCGACCAACGAGATTAGAATTTAGAAAGGCACTCTCACGAAGAAACATGCCCCGTTGTGTACCATCCGACCCTAAGTAGGTATATCTTCCAGTGCAGACATACCCATATTTGGTGACCATTTGTGAGAGTGGCCTAACCACCGCGTACCCTACTTTCACCCGAAATTGATGAAAATTGCTTAAAATTCAAAATAATTGAATACCTTTTTGGAAATCTTCTTCTCCCGGACCTCGTACCGTTCCAGCGTCAGATCACAAAGCCATGCTCCCGGGCTCACAAGCTATTAAATATAAATGCAGAAAAATAATGGAAAGAATTAGATTAATCATTACATTTTATGGACAAAGGCAAAAGGGTTGGCTTTTGCTTTAAGTAACGGGAAAAAGCACTATAGGCTTTTTTCATAAGCACTTTTCTCTGCTTGGAATCGAAAACCAGATTAATAGTGCGTTTTTGTTCTCTCTGTACTTGGCACTTGGCAGTGCGGTCCAAGCCGGACGACAGTCAGGCTCACGTAGCCACCCAACAAAATTATGACTACGAAAGTACGAATATGCCCTCCACATGAACCATATTTACCACAAGAACATTTATTAAGAGCCCACTGGTTTTTAAAAATCGAATACCAACTAAATCACATGCGTACACGTGGGAGGCAATGCACCGCCCAATCACCATGAAATCAGAAAGAGATCCTCTCTGGATCTTTCCCCAAAACCCATGATCAAATGATTCAGGTCTTTAAAATTTGATCCAACCGCTAAAACAGAGAAGTTAGTAAAAATTTTTAAAAGTTATAATAATTTTTTACCGTTTGATCAATGTCAAAAATTCGGCTCATTTCATCCATAGATTTTGAAGGAAGGGATATGAAGAGATCTCTTTCCCATGAAATCCACCGAAAAGCGACCACCAACTATTGCCATTTGCCACGTTCATATTATTTAACAATTTAATTAATATTAGATATTACAAAAAAAATTAAGCCCCAAAACCAATAATTCGTCATTCCACTTGGACAACTAAGAAACTTTGGGGGATGAATTAGGTATAGATGATGTCCTTGGGACACGTGTATGTCTGGTTCTTGCTGTCACTTTAGCACTCCTTTGGCTTTTTATCTAAAACTAAAAATAAAAATAAAATTTTAAGTAGATCATTTTTTTAAATTATATAACGTGTCACCAATAAAAATTAAACGGTCTCACGAGAACAATTTATAGGATACATACACTGCTAAAGTGACGTCTCTAGCGCCAATGAAACATCACCATTTGAACAAAACTCAAACATGTTTTTTTCTTCTATTGACGCGATATGCAACGATGACCTTGTACCGGTGCCAACTTTATGTTTTTTTTTTATCCTTCAACTAATCTAGACCTAGTCCACATTTTGTGACAACAACAAATTGCATATACAAAATAACAAACCAATCACAACAAGCAATGTAAATTTCTAGCCAAAAACACAACTCTAAAGATCCGAAAAGGAGTTGAATAGACCTCGTTAATGCTGAGATTGCGTATTTCAAGTTAATCACGTATAGTTACGAAAAACAGAAATATATGTAACATTATGTGATTAACTTAAAACAATGTCGCGACGTAGTTCTAAATTTTTTACCTTGACAAATTGACTTTTTCCTAAATCAAGCAACTTATAATCAAACTAGGTTTTTGCAATGGTGTTCAAAGCTACTTAAATCCCTAATCATTAATTAAGGAAACTAATTAAGCAGAGATTAAATTAAAAACTGAGTGAGAGAGAGAGAGAGCTTACATTGAGGGTGCGTTGGATGAACTTGGCACGCTTCTTTGGTCTCTGAGGCAATTTGGACCCTTTAATCGCCATGAAGTCCTCCTCTTTCTCTTTATTGGTCAAAGCAATCACGAACTTCGGCGGCCACACCATCGGTGGCCCCGCCGCCGCCTCTCCGCTCCCCGACGAAGACCCGCCCTTCTTGCTATCGTGCGCCGTGTCCGAAGACGCTGCAGACTTGTTGTGATGATTAATCTCATTATGGTGGTGGTGGTTTTTCTTATCGTGCGCACCCCTGTCCGGCGAGGTAATTCCCCTCACCCCTCCTCCGCCGTTGCTCTGGCCTCTCATGGCAGCAGCGCTCGTAATCTCTGAGTTTCTGCGGAACCAGATATCAAATCATAAAATCAAATAAAAACATAGATAGAACATAATAAATGATATTTTCGCAAAAAATAAAAAACCAAATAAATGAGATAATAAAATTTTGACGTGGGTGCGTCAAATTACAAGATTGACCTCGGTCGATCTAGATCGGTGGGTGAGAGAAGGCTAGTGAAAGAAACTCTGTGGGTTTTTGGCGTAGAGAATGAAGCGTGGTGTTTGGCTTCGTTGCGGGACCTTTGCGTTTTGCTTTTATGGTGGGAAGTTGTTAGTTTTTTCATTTATTTTTTAAATAAATAAAAAACCAGATAATACATTTCACAGAGAGAGAGCGGAAAAGCGACGTGCCAGCTGGTTCTACGGCTGGTTTTCGGCCGTTGGATCGAGGGTGCCTTTTTGAGGGTTAAGGACACGTGTCGGCTGTAGACAGAGGCCGACCTGTTGCCTAATCCAATCGGACGGCTGATGATGGGTAGTTGATGGAATTCGGTTATGGGATGGACACGTGGAACGGGAATTGCCCGTTCCTTTTTTCCAATGAGGCCGTGGAATCAGGGTGCCGGTCGTTGTGGAACGGATGCCAATCATGCTAAACGATGGAGTGGAGGTTCCGATGATCACAGTAGGAATACGCCTGCTACATGTTATAACCGGATAGGATGGTTTAAAGCAAGGAAAGAAGAAACATATCATACCAGATTTATGATCGAATCAGCTTCAACAATTCCTATGGTAATAAATCAATGACACTAAGGTATTGGGACGGAGCACGCGTGAGTGATTTCCGACCATTGATGTGGTGAGCAGCTGTGCCTGGCATCAATGGCTCAGAATTATCCACGTGCACGTCATTCCTAGAGCTAAAACTCAAATCAAGTTCATTGCACTTAGAACACAACTCACCGATACTATGACTTGATCCCCCTAAATTACTCGATAGAATCGGTTTCACAATTTAAGATCTAAAGCATGAGAAGAGCAGGAGTCGAACTCTTACCTTAGGTACGAGAGGGTGTAAACGCTCCTTGTGCGACTCGAGATTCTCTCTCTCTCTCTCTTTCTCTCTCTAAATTTAGTATTTCGTGATGTGTGTTTCTGTTGCACAAAGTCAGTTGTGACTACATGAGCAATCTATTTATAGTGATTCAGCTACTAGGTTTTCTAGAAAGACAAGGAAAGAAGGCGGCCTCACGTACTTACCATGAGCTCTCTCCTTCCGGAACTTACCCATCTCTGCACCCCCACCTGACCAATTGGAGAGTGGGTCAACATAAAAACCTACACAACAGATCCAGCCCCAATTCTATAATTAAAGTCCTAATCCTCTAAAAAACTTCATTAAACTACACATTAAACACATGCTTAAAGCAGAACGTTTATAATTAAATGAATGAGACCACAGGAATATAAAACATGTGGTGCGGGACAAAAAGATCATTAGTGCTTACTCTCTAGCCTTATCCAATCCTACATAAACACTATCCAATCCCACTCATATAAAGGAGACAACTTGGGCAGCACTCGAGCCGTGTGCATTAAGAGCTGTACTTAAATTGGTCACCCAATATAATGAGATCCGCTTCTTCGTTTAGAGTGTCTAACTATGTAGTTGATCTAATTGTCGAACCAAGTTTCCGTTTATCCTTTTTTTTTTTTTTTGGTCAGAGTCGATAACCTTGACTGTACTTTGATAAATCAGAGCAACAAAACACTTGCTTAAGATCAAGTATGCTAATATTTTCTCACAAATCTAAAATCTCAACGCCGAGACTGAGTGATTTAAAACCTAATGATCTGACTGTGCTATTAAAATTAACGATTAACGATGAATTCATTTCATATAAATCATTCTCAGACAAGGCTAGAAACCAAAGTTGAAGCGACAAAACCCAGCATAATCACACCTCACTAAACGACGAAACTACACATTAGCAAAGAGCAAGAGAACCTAAACGACGTCGGGCGAAGGAAAAGAGTAACTGAGTGAGTGAGAGTACCGACCTGAGAATACGCTGAGGTAGCGGTTGCTGCGGAGATAACGGCCGTTGACGGAGATTCAAATACCCGTTACTCGTCTGATTAACGGTGGTGGAAGGCTGATTGGCCAAGTCCTTATCGGGTCGAACGACCCGGCGATCAACCCGGACCGTGGTTCGGGTAACCGGGGCGCCGCTCGAGTCGTCCTTCTCCTTGACCTGGATCTTCATACACCGGAGGCGCTTGCGGTTCCCCCACTGCAAAACGAAGTCCGACGTCGTTTGGTGTCGGATCGCAACCTCGGCGGAGACGGAATGCATCCCCGCCGGTTCTATCTCTACTGCTGGTACGGTCCCTTTCCATCTGCATTTAATTACAGCGGTTAGGTTAAAATCGTACTTTTATATTTTAAACCGGGGTTAAACAAAATTAAAAGAGGACAGAGGAGGCAAAAACGAGAATCTGGAATTGGGTTGTGGCTGGCTGTCTGCAACTGCAAGAACCCAGAAATAAAAATTCAAATTAAAAAGAACGAGTTTATCCAAATAGATGGAGAAGATGAAGATCCAGAAAATGTAGGGGAAGGACAAGGCATTAAAATTTGATCCTTGATAACTGGGGAGACAAAGATGTTGCGCAGTTTCATCTCTTGCCTTGTTCGTTTTCTTCTTGCTCTCAGTTTCCCGGGAAACAAACAGAAAGTTTTTACTTCTTCTGGTGTTTCAACTTCTAAAAAAACTGATGGCGGAGAAGAACATAAGCATCGGAGTTAGAACTGGCAGAAGAAGAACATAAACATCGGAGTTCGAACTGGCTAGAAAAAACTCGAAAGGTTGGTGGATATTGAAAGAGAGGCCGTTTCTTTTGAATGCTGAAAAAATTCAAGGACAATCGATGGAAATGACCCGGCACAAAAATAAATAAACCAATAAATAAATAAAATCTTCACCAACACAAAGGTATTAGTTGCAGAAAACTGACAGAACCCAGAATGCGAAATTTGAGAGAAGACTCGAACCGAAAGATGGATTCAATTAGAAGATGCAGAGAGATTGCGATTTTGAGAGAGAGAGAGAGAGACAGAGAGACAGAGAGACAGAACTCTTGGAATTTCAATGGGAAAAGCATATATTATGATGTAGAAGTATGTCCTTTTGAGAATCCATAGAACAAACAGATTGCTTCGACTCGATGGAGATGACGAAAATGGAGTTGAAAGATGAGAAGATTCGATGAACTCAAAAAACGGGTTGAAATGGAATCCACCAGTAAGATCAAAGGCGGAGACTTTTGGTTTCAACTCTGATCTATGAACCGGATAAATGAATCCTCACCTGTAATGCTCAGATTTCTCAACCACCTACAATCCAGAACTTGAAGTTGAAGTTTTGCTTTTTCTGGGAAATCTTGTTCTGCTCGGCCTTTGAGACCGCAAAATGCAAATCTACACCCAAAAATCGACGAAACGATCGAAATTCAGAGCTCGTCTCCCTGATACTCTCAGAAAACTAGTTGAGATTTCTTCAGAAAACGGGTCGAATCTCTTCGAAATGAGCCTGAGAATTCGAAATCAAAACCAAACGATGAATTAGAACAGGGAAACAAAGCAAAACGACGAATTTCTCTGCAAATTCCAGTGAAATGAGATCGGTTTTGCAAATTACCCAACAAAATCGCAATCGAATTCTACTTCGGAAACTCTTGGAATGTATCTGCAAAACATAAATTCCACCAGAAAAACAAAAACCCAAGTCAATTTTCTGAATTTAGATTCCATTAAAGCAGCACAAAAGGACCTCTGTTCTCAGAATTCAAACCTCTCCAAGCTCTCGCAGACTCAGAGAAAAAGCTTCGATTGGATCCTCTACATTCACATAGGCCAGCTCTACGAATTCGAATCTGAATTCCCAATTCAAAAAGTAAATGAAACTCGAAGGCTAAAACTCTAGAGAGAAAGAGTTAGAGAGAGAAAGCTTCGTGCTTTCTTCTGGTTTTCTGATGGAACGAAATGCACTCTTGCCTTTCAAACCCAGTTTTTATACCAAGCCCGTTACTCTCTCCGTCACACATCAAACGTCCAACGCCGAGCTTTCTCCACCCTCGATCCACCATCCAACGGCTCCCGCATCTTCCTCTCTTAAACCGTCAGCTCCGTCTCTTTTAAACCCCGTTACGACGTCTTAATGCGCTCCCTTCCCTTCGCGGCTTCACAGCCTTCACCCTCCGTCTCTTTTGTACCTTTTTTTTTTTAATATTTTTAATTATTTTTTATTTTATTTTCTGGTGAACCGGTTCGATGGCGCTTTGGTTCGGGTCACGTAGATGTAATCAAAGTGAGCTAACTGTGGTTAAATTTTAACCGGGGTCGGGGATTTAAGTTATCAGACAATTGTCCGTAGTATCCGGTTGCTCTGGTCGATTATAGACCGTGTACAAACCGGGCTTAAATGTTGTGGGTACGGTTTTTGACCAAATTATATTGTTGAATCTTGAGCGTCCATCAAATAAAGAAAAAGAAAAAGAAAATCTTGAGCGTCGGTTTTGCCACCATTGTCCATTATTGGTTTGAGCATATGGATCGTATTTTAAGTTGAGATGTGAGAATTGAAAGACACTTTGATAAGACTATTTTGTTAGACACTATTAGTTAGGTATTGTTGTGTTTTTTAATAAAATTATTTCTACTGTGTTGTAAGAATAAACAGTTATAAAATAAAATTTTTAAATATTTGGTAAGTTTTTTTTCCGTAACAGTGTTTTTAACAAATAAAAAAACAATGTCTGAGTGTTTATTAAACTTTTATATAAATTTTTTTGAATATATTAAATGATTAAAGAAGATAAAATATTTAATATGATATAATTATTGTCAAAGACAATAATGTAGGGACAAAGATTATAATTTTGTAAAATTGTGGGGGTATACTTGTCATTTGAAAAGTTCATTAAATGAGCATTGATTACTATACTTTGAAAAAATAAATTTTTTTTAAAAGCATGGTAGACGTTGTTTGTGCTTTTTTATATTTTTCTACTTTCATTGACATTAGTTTTAACAAATTTTTTATTTTTATTTTATTTTACCAAACACATTTAATGTTCCAGATTTTTTAATAAGCTGCTTTTTTTTTTTTTTTAAACATCACAATCTCATACCAACCCTGAGTGAAAACATTTTTAAAGAAAATGTTTATGAGTTCCAATAATGCTTAATATGCTTCTTACAAAAAATACCAGTTATGTGCTTTGAAAGTAGTTCAAGTACTTTTTCAAAATTCACTAGTATTTTTAGTAAAGATTGATTCTCAAAACATTTTTATAAAAATGTTTTCAACCATTTTAAAAATTATGATATAATCCTACATCGGTAGATTATCGTAGGGTTGAGTAGGATTATATCATTGGGTCTCATATTTGTCCAAAAGGTATTCCCTAAATGTGGTGGTCGGATACTAGTTGTAAATTTAATTTGTGAATTTTGGCAAATGGTAAATGCATTATAATAAAAAAGTTTTAACGAAAAACCCGCGGTACTTGTGACATCCCGTCCCGGAATTATCGAAACGTACATGTGAATTGACCATTTTGCCCCTAGTTAGCTTGGTTGTGTTATTGGTTATTTGTGTGCCTTGTTGGCATGCTTAGGGATCACACACATACCCTCATTTTCCCTATCCCTTTCTCAGTCACTTTCCCTGTCTCTTTCTCTCTCTCTCTCTCTCCCGAGTCTCTATCCTTCCTCTCCCATTCGAAAACGTACGGACACACACTAAACCCCTCAAAACATCACGGATCGAGGAAACTAAGGACACCTTCGAACTCGTGAAGCTCGTGTGAATACAACCATACCATTTGCAGGTGAGAAATCCTCCATTTTCACGTCGATTCCATAACCTCCGATTTGAGCACTATTCATGCAAACTTAATCTAGTTAGTTTTTGGACATTTGCAGCTTGTAGATGTGTAGGTGAGGTCCCAAGGAGCTTGGGAGTGTATCGTTGGACGGAATTGGACGACGGGATCACGAACTGTAAGTTTGGCCGAATTTTCATATTTTTGGAAAGTTTGATTCCGTTGTTTTTAGGCCCTAAAACTAGTCCAACGTAGTAGTTTATGATTAGGGCTTCATTTTGGTGTAAATTACGTGAAAAATGGATGAAAAACGAAGGAGAATAGTGAGTTTAAACTGTTCACAGTTTTCTGGTGACCGGAGTCCGGCGAGGGTTGATCGGAGAAGAAACAGGAATATTCCGTTAAGTTTAACGGAATATTCCTAACGGCAGTAACGGCGTCTGTTTAGGTTTAACGGAATATTCCGTTAGTTTAACGGAATATTCCTGACGGCGTCTATTGACACCGTCAGTGTGCACGGCACGTGGCCGCGCGTGGGGGCGCGTAGGTCCGTGCCTGTTTTGGCGCGTGGGGGCGCGTGAGAGGTCCAAAAATTATTTTAAAAATATGGTTGTGATCCTGAGGTTGTGTAGAGCACGTTGGTATATTCATTTGTCCATTTTGAGCAATGTATGAGAAGTTATTTTGAACGGAAGGTTATGTGCTTTAAAGTTAACGTTTTTATAGTTAATTCGCATATAGGTGACACGTATCCCGAGGACGAGCGTGCACACTCGAGGCAAGAGGGCTACGACCCTTCCACATACCAGTGAGTGGGCTTTTGGTTTTCCGTATATACCTATATACATATTAATTCCCATAAATTAGTATAAAAGCTTATTCGTTATATGCCATTCCTTTTATATAATTGGTGGTTATGCATGATTAGTTGCATATACGTTTATTTATATATTCAATTATGCATATGTCTATAGATTTAATGGTGCTGTGGAGGCACAGGTAAGTGCCAGGTAAGCGTTGTTAATAATTTCATTAATTAGTGGTTAGAGGTGCTTAGAGAGCTCATAACCTGCACCCCCGGTGTTAGTGCTCCTGCCCAGAGTAGGGCACAGTCCTTCACGTGTTGTTCACCTCCTGCACCATACGCTCAGCTTGGATCCAAGTTAGGTGCACAATCTTGTTGTACAGACCACTATAGGTGGTTCCGACTTGTAGGTGACCCGCGATTATTCGCACAGCCTTCACGTGATCGTAGCACTAGAGCGTTTATATGTATTGCACCCAGGCTTGTCGTACAGACCACTACAGGTGGTTCCGACTCGTGGGCAGGTTTAGTTGTGAGATTGAGATTTGAGCTCTAGATTCAGCCGTACAGGTCACTTTAGGTGACTCCGGCTGCCAGTGATAAGTTATTGACACGGTTTATACCTGAGCACTTGCATTTTATCATGATGGCATACCCTTGAGCATATCTGGCATATTTATCCCTACGTATATATGTTTATTTTCTGGGAAGTATACAGGTTTTACGGCGAGGGGTTAGAATAGATTTTATGAAATGGTTTTCAAAGAATTTGTTTTTGCCTACTCACGTTTTTGTTTTGCGCCCCTCCAGGTTCTAGTAGCTTAGCGGGCTCGGTGGTTTTCCCCGGTGGACGTCCCGGCATTTCTGACAGACACTCACCGATGTAGGGTCACCTTCGGGTGCACTATCGTTGTATCTTTTCTTTGGACTGCTGTAGTCTTTAGGCTATGAATTCAGCGTCTCACTTACGCTAGCACTTATTTTATCACTTTGCATATGCTAGTTTCTAAATTATTCGTACTTTTATATTATTTCCTTTAGCTTCCGCACTGTGCACATGGCTACGTCACTACCACGTGGCGGCCAGCATGCCCTGACCTCGGTTGGGGTGTGTCAGTACTGTTCACTTTAACGAAAAATCATATTTTTTTCACTAAAAAGTCAATCTTGATACTATTTACTTTACCTTTTATTTTGTCCTTATCGTTAAAACTCAAAGTTTTCAAGCATTTTTCATTAGTTTTTCCTTTATAATAATTGTTCGCATTAGATTTTGGGATTTTGATAAGCTTATTTGACTGGGCTGGTTTGGTATTGCAGTGCTTTGAAAAAAAACTGCTTCTGCTGTGCTGTAAGAATAAGCAGCTGTGAAATAAAGCAGCAGAGTATTTGGTAAACTTTTTTGTAAAAGTGATTTTGAAAAAAAGAGTAGTATTATAGTGTTTGGTAAATTTTTATGTAAAACATATGTGAAAAAAAACCGATTTTTCAAAGCTGGGTTTTGCAGGTTCTTGTTTTTGGCTTTTTTCATCTAAAACTGTAAAAAAAAACTGAAGCTAAATGTTAACCAAACACAAAAACAACTTTCAACTTTTTTTTATACCAATTTTTTTCAGAACCACCTCACGACCAAACCAGACCTTCAATTGATGACTAGCATGTGCACTTGAGCAACTAAGCATAGCGTTACTCTCGTATGATATATTTCTTTGTAAACAACAGAAGTCGAGAAATTTAAAATATTTTAATATGCGGACCAACATAGTGAGCCGTCTGTTTTTAGTGTGAACATTGTTACAAACTTATCTTATTATCAAAAATAGATATGCATTATTAGGAGATTATATACGAGTTCGATTCCCACTGTTGTCTTATTAGTTATAAAATCACTTTATTTCAAAGTTTTTGGAGTTTTCCTAGATTAAAAAGAATATTAACGAACTAATGACAAATCCATATTCGATTTCATGAGGGTAAATAGTATACGGCTCTCTGTAGGACCCACAACGTGGCTGCTTGCTTCCCTCGATTAAGGCAGCTACAGGTTGGAGCACGTTGAGGAAGGAAATTTAAGGATTGGGCGTATGTACTCCTGATATCTCATGAAACGACGACGTACTTTTAGCTCCGAATTAAATTACATGTCGAAACAAAGCCGGATAAACTTTCATGTTAAGTCCGGGAAATGAGAATAAAAGATTTTATCATTAAGTTACTCTATGATAATTTCAAGCTTAAACGTCACCATTATCGGTCAAGTTGGTTTCTGTGTTTTTAATTTAGCTGAATTGATCCTCGTGTTCACCTTCGTTAGCTAATTTTAGACAATCCATTAAAGGACGATTAAAATTGACATGTG